TTCATCTGATGGAATTTGATGTTGTTTCCAGTGTTGAGCGAAGGCTAATCTGGCCACTGTTAAAATGTGTATTGTTATGTATTTAGCTTTTTTGAAAATTTGTTTATCAAAAATCCCTAACAGGAAGGACTCTGGTTTGTATTCGATCTGCTCTTTTGTGATTTCTTCCAACCAAGTTTTGATTTTCTTCCAATACTTTTGGGTTTCTGTACAAGACCACCACATATGGAAAAAGGTTCCTTCTTTTTTCCTACACTTCCAGCAATACGGACTCATGTTAGGGTGCATCTTCGCTAGCCTCGAAGGGGGGAGGTGCTTAGTATTCTTACTGTCTCCCCTATGTTCCCATATAACAATCTCTATTATTAATAACTTAACTAAATTAATTAATCCAATATTTTAACAATCTAATGGATCCCTCAGGTGCGTCTGTGTCTCCAGTGTGTCTTACTGGCAGGCAGGGTGGGGAGCGTGGTCCCACCAGGGCTTTTTAACTGGTCTGACACCCAGTGATTTCAGCATGCCTCCAGTGTGGCTTACCGGGGGGGGGGGTGAGGACTAGTCCTGCTGGGGCTTCGTTACCCAGCCTATCATCTAGTCACTTCAGTCTCTTGGTTAGCAGCAGCTCTCTCCACTGCAGCATCCCATCCTTGTTGCCACTATTGTGTAGTGGACTTCAGTAGGTAAGAACCAGACCAGCAAAGCTGCAACCGCATTTATTGACTCAAAACTGGAACTGAGGAACTGCAGGCAAATGCCTGTGATTTATACTCTAGGCCCATAAGGCCTTAACTAATCATAGAATTAGAAAAGCTCACCCAAATATAAATGTTCTAAATTTTCCTCCAAAACAATTGGGGTCATCTAAAGGTTAGTTTCACTTTAGCACAGTTAACACAACTGTATACATTCAATACACAGTGGTCTGTATTTAAATAGTGGTTTTATCTACAAAGAATATATACATACAGATTCTTGTCAGACCTCAAACAAATAGCAAACAGCAATTTACAGCGTGGAAGCACATATGCAGAGAGAGCTATGCCCCAACAGGGCCTCTTCTTATTACAGGCTCTTAAAGTGATATTAGCCCCAAAACCTTGCTGACTCGTTTGCAGTATTACATCTTTGTAGCAGCTGGTCAGCTCTTAAAACATTACCCTCACAAATAAAAATAAATAGGAGAGAAAATCAAAGATAAATAAATAGGCAAATAACAAGGACAAGAAAATTAGAAATCAAGGAACAATAGTATTAAGTTTGACGGGTGGAAGAACGGAGGCAAAGCAAAGTATCATTTTTTAGTTCTAACAGCTCAGCTAATAGTGACAGCTTGGCTAACAACAGCTGACTCCTGTCTGACAGTGCTCCTGTCTGCTGTCAGATGGGCAACCAATCAGAATAAATGTCTCTTCCTGCTTAAGCAGGACCTGAGTGAAACCTTAATACACAACACTCCTTCCCACCCAGATGGAGCATGCGTAGTTGTCGGGCTCAGTTAGGGGGGGCCAAACCCATTATGAGGTGCAGCAAATCCTTGATTCGAGGTGGCATATTAGACAACTCCAATACTTAATCAAGTGGAAGGGCTACCCCTTATCAGAGGCATCTTGGGTAAAGAGTAGGAACATCCAGGCTGATCACCTTATAGCAAAATTCCACGCAGAAAATCCAAACAAGCCTTAGGGATGCAACAAGCCTGGTGGGGAGGGTCGCATCCCTAAATTCTATACCTGTACTCAAATTGTTTTTGCTTTTTGCAGGTCACTTTCAGGAAGTGAGGGGAGCCGAATGTCAACTCGTAAAGCATTCCTGGACTGCTCTTGATCTGCCATAGGCAGGAGGGGGGAGAAACTCAGTTGCTATTACCAGAAGCACATTCCATGCATACCTTTCTCCAGATTGTATCCCAGATTACTAAAGCAAGCTGGAGAGGCGTGTTTTCTACAGTCCGCAAAAGTGTTCCATTGGAGAATGTGATTTATGACACATCCTGGGAGGAGGGGGAAACACGATCTTAGTTGGGCAGTAAATTATGTGGGGCAGAGCTGACTGCACTTGGGAAAGTGGCAACATGTTGCTCCTAATAAATAATTGGATTTCTTTTGAAACTTGGTTCAAGGCTCAGGAATTAATTAGGGCATCCATTGGAACCCTGACACAAGGGCTGCCATCCGGGATTTTGCCAGCTGAATGAATCTTCTAGCCATGAAACTCCTCAGCTCCTCCATTTCCCTGGGGGTTATCACTGTCAGTATATTCATGAACTGGAATAAAGCTTGGTAACAAGGTCAGCCAATGAATAGGCATAGCAACTAAGTCAGCCAATGAGGACTTTTTGGAAATTGAAACTACAAATAGCCTAGGCTGTAAACTGAAACTAAAAGTAGCCTAGGCATGGCTCTATGTTAAGTTCTGCAACTCTGCAGCTATGTTGAGCTCTGTTGAAGATGAAACTAACTTGCTTGCTTGCTGAAGACTGGAGCTCTGCTCTGAACTTGCAACATGTTTCTGTTTGAGTTTGCTCCATTTTGGAGACATCTACAACTGGTTTGCAAAATCTACTTATGTTTATAAAGATGTTAAATGAAGCACCAGCCATCTGTGTTTATTTTTCTGGCACTGAATTATCGCTGAAAAACTCTCAAAAGATTATGGGCCCAAAGAAAAGACTGAATTGTAATTAAAACTGAGAGACTGCCTGTTTTAAAAGTAAGAAACAAGACAAGAGGCTTTGCAGGATGGCTGAAAAAATTAAAGAGAACTCTCTACCCAGTTTGGGTCAGAAGAACTATATTATTTGGGCTGCAAAGATGGAATGCTCCCTGAAGGCTAAAGAGCTTTGGAATATTGTTGAAAATCCACCCCAGGCACCATTGAATGCTGCAGATCAGAAGCTGCATGATAGAGCATTTGCTTATATCATCTTAAGTTTAGAAGTTGATCAGTTTATCAATGTAGCTGATTTAAAGACTGCAAAGGAAGTCTGGGATAAATTGAGGACCATTCATGTGAGTGTATCTGCATGCAACATCATACAATTATCAAGAAAGTTATATAGAGCTCGTTTGCAGCCAGGCGATTCAGTGGAACAGCATTTTGTTAATCTGCAAACTTTGTTTGTGGAATTAGAACAACGTGGGATGAGGATTCCTGAATCTCAGAAAGTGCACTTAATTTTAAATAGCCTAGATGAAACTTGAATGCAAACCAAAACAGGAATTGAGTCTGGAAGCTCTGAAAGCAAGCCTGATAGCTGAAGAGCAGAAACGCCATTACAGAAAAAGCCTCAAGGAGGAGAAATCCCTGAGGAGGGGACCCAAGGCACAGAATGGATAATTCCACAGACTGGCTGTCTCAGAGAAGAGAAGAGCAGCAGGGGATATCAGATTACAACCCAGCAACAGAGACGATCTCATTTAAAGGCAGACTGTTTATTGCAAAACAGAAAAAGTTTGCAAGGACAGGTTGATGGATAGATTGCTGTTGCAAAAGCCTGCAATAGTGGGAGAGATAATGGCTTATAGACAGTGTGGCTAGCCAAATGATTATTAATAATGCTACATTTTTTTGACAGGATGGATGCAGCTGTTGGAGACACAGTAGCCTTAGCAAATGGTAAGAAGGCTAAAGTCATTGGAAGAGGCAGTGTGCAAATTCCATATTTGGAAACAAGGTGTCAGCCTTCAAGATTTCCTTCCTTTGCTTTGTATCTTTCGGCTGTCATAAGTAATGGGGGGAGGAGGGGGGACATAGTTATGGGAAGCGAGCTGGAAGTTTTACAAAAAAAAGAAGAACTGTATAAGTTGGGGGGAGTTTCTTGCTTATGTTTCTTTCCTATGCTATGTGCAAGCGTTGCTCTTTATCAAAATATGTCAAGGTCAATGGACAGAGGTCTCATCACCACCTGGAGATGTCCACATGACATTATATACAACTTTTTATAGGATGGACAGTTTGAACAATTGTGGGTGGGAACGTTGCCATCACTTTGTATATGTGATTTACGTGCTCATTTTCTCAGATTCAGAATTCCTTTGATGCTACCACTTGATTTCCAGTAAAAGATATCTTTTCTCTAATTAATGGAGTCTAAGTATTTCTTTCTTGGATTTTGAATGGAGCACCAGCTGACATTATTCTGAATCTCAGTTTACCAGCCCACCCAGAGAATTAAGAAAGTTCTTGTGAGGGGGTCTGAACACAATGTCTAATCCAGCCATCGACCAAGAAGACCTGGGAGTGACTGGAGGACCAGATTCCCTGCTGTTAGAGGCGGCAGGGGAAGATGAGTTGTTAGCAGAACTACATCTTGATGAAAAACCAGCTGTAAAGCCCAAATGATCTCTGGGAGTTGGCTGGAAGAATCCGAAGGAAGAGCCCCCTCCAGGAGTGACCATTACCCAACAGCATAGAAGAGAAGAGCCCCAGCAAGAGGATGAAAGAAAGAATTTTGTATTAGGTCAAGCCCTGCATCTTCTAAATGAAACTGTTGGAGGAACTCAGACTGATCAAAGGTGTTGTGTTCTGGGCATGGGCGCAAGGAACGGAGACGAGGCAGTGAACGGTGAACTTCAACTCTTTATTAACGATCAGGAACAGAGCAAAAACCTTGGGCAGCAGCAGCTCTTTTATAGAGATGGCTGCTGTCCCATTAACCAATGAATTGCGTTGGAGCGTTTAAACTGTGCCCAATGGGAGATGACCTGCTATTAGCCAATCAGATTGCCCAGAAGAGACCAATCATGATTCGCTATTTATGGGCCAATCAGAAGTGCAGGATTATGAGCCTGCTTTTCTAGTAAGGTTGTCAAGCTTTATTAAATGCATTTACTTAGTTCATAACACCCCTCCCCCCTAGGTTTCGTTTGAGGGGTGTGGTAACGTATTCACATAGATACGCAGGTCGTTTCACCTGCCTGTTCGATTTGCGCTGTTCCACCGGTTTCTGTCTGCAGTCCGGTTCCGGTGGAACGTTTTCTGAGTTGTCTGGCACGAACGGTTCCGTTTCTCTGAGGACAGACACGGTGCGGTTATTCCCATTTTCGCCATTGTTGTCATCCGGGTTTCTTGGGATTGTTTCCGGGTTCCGTGGGCTTGCCTCCATCGTGGTATTTCTCCGCGGCGAGGCAAACCCCCTTCCTGATTCTTCTTCAGTCGGCGCGTTTCTCTCGAGTAGTTGGGTTGGCGGCTGTTTTTCCCTGATTACGTCATCCGCTATTTCGTTTTCGGCCCCCTCGATATCCCCTCCCTCCCCAGTTTGAGAATCAGGGGAGTCGCGGGAAATGGGTTGTAATCTGGATCGAAGCTGATCTATATGGCGTTTCCATACTTTCCCGTCCGTGGTTTGTAGTCGGTAGGATCTGGGGCCGGTGAGTTGGGTTATGGTTGCTGGGACCCACAACGGTTCGCCGGAAAAGTTTTTAGCAAACACCAAGTCGCCTACCTTGAACTCATGGCACTTTCCGCTAGATCCGAAAGGTTTCTCTGGCGAGTAGGAAGGGTGTAGGCGGTCGAGGTGGGATCGAAGTTTCAGTCCCATCAACAGTTCGGCTGGAGTCTTATTCGTGACTCTGTGTGGGGTGATGTGTTGGAGTAGAAGTATTCTGTTCAGCTTGTCGTCAATGTCCCCATGCTCCATTTTGTGTAGAGTCTTTTTGACGAATTGGACCATTCGCTCAGCCCTTCCGTTGGCCACAGGGTGCGCCGGCGAAGTTAGCGCATGGCGGATAACCCGGTCCGCTAGGTACTGTTCAAATGCCAGGGCAGTGAACTGGGGACCGTTATCAGAAACTAAAACGTCTGGTAACCCATGCGTTGCGAATAGTTTATTTAGTTTGTTAATGACAGAGTCGGTTGTAGTAGTTTTCATTTTGTGGATTTCGAGCCAGTTGGAATAGGCATCCACTGTTAGGAGAAAAGTGTGACCTTTGGTGGGTCCCGCAAAATCAATGTGGATGCGGGACTATGGACCCCGAGGGGTTTCCCACTCGGTTGGCGTTGCTCTTGGTGGGGTACTGCTGACTTCTTGGCACTTTCGACAGGTAGTTACCCAGGCTTCGATCTGCTTATCGATGCCCGGCCACCACGCGTAACTTCATGCGAGCACCTTCATGCGCACGATGCCTGGATGTCCTTCATGCAATACTTTTAAAACTGTCTGTTGTAGCTTCTCTGGGACAATGACTCTGTCTCCCCATAGAATGCAGCCTTTCTGAGAAAACAGTTCAGTCTGCCGGTTTTTGAACGGCGCGAAGTTGTCGTGGGGTTCGTCGACTGGCCACCCCCGTTCGACCCAGCTGAGAACTCGTGCCAGGACAGGATCCCGTTTCGTCTCGATGGCGATGTCTCTCGCTGTTAGCGGTGGCGAGTGCAGCATTTCAATTTGGAATGTCGTGAGGGTTGGAGCTGGGTTGTCGACGGCTTCCAGAAGTGGGGAACGGCTTAAAGCGTCAGCGTGGGGAATGGCTTTCCCTGGGCGATGTTGCAGTAGATAATTGTATGCAGCTAGGAACTCTGACCAGTGAGTCATTCTTGGCGACAATATATAGGGGGTTGGCTTGTCTCTCGCTATAATACTGAGCAATGGCTTGTGATCCGTAATTATAGTAAATGCTCGTCCATACACATATTCGTGAAAAAGCTTTACAGCCGATACCACAGCAAGAGCCTCTTTATCGAGTTGGCTATAGTTCCTTTCAGCCCTTGATAATGTCCTTGAAAAAAACGCAATAGGTGCCTCATTTCCGTTCGGTAACACATGACTTAAAATGGCTCCTACTCCAAATGGTGATGCGTCGCATGTAATGGTTAAAGGCAAAGTCTCGTTATACTGCATTAATACAGCGTCGGAGGTTAATAAGTCTTTCACTTGTCGGAATGCGTGTTCCTCTCGGTGTCCCCAGACCCAGGCAGCTCTTTTGTCGAGAAGTCTATGTAGGGGCTCAGCTACGGTCGCCTTCTGGGGCAAGAAGATGTTGTAAAAGTTAATGAGTCCCAGGAAGGCTTGGAGGTCCGTCTTATTCTTAGGTCTTGTGGCATTTTTGATTGCTTTTAGCTTGTTATTGGTGGGGTGGATTCCTTGTCTATCGAGAAGGTATCCAAGGAATTCTACTCTCTCGGTACACAGTTGACATTTATTTTTTTTAACCTTCAGGCCGGCGTCTTTGAATTTTTGGAGAACCATTCTGAGACGCCTTTCTAATACTTCTTTGTTAGGGGCAGCAATTAAAACGTCATCAAAATACGGCACAACCCCTTTGATGCCTTGTAAAAGTCTCTCCATCAGACTTTGGAAAATCCCCGGGGCTACGCTCACTCCGAATTGGAGTCTATTGCACTTAAAGGCACCTCTGTGCGTGACGATAGTTTGTGCTTCCGCGGTTTTCGCATCTACGGGTAATTGTTGACACGCCTGCACTAAATCCAGTTTTGCAAATATTTTCCCACCGCCCAGGGAGTGGAGAAGGTGTTGAACCACCGGCACCGGGTAAGCGCTCTGTTGAAGTGCGTGGTTCAGGGTGGCCCGGTAATCCCCACAAATTCTTAACGATCCATCCGGTTTGATGGGTGTTACTATTGGGGTTTCCCAACGGGCATGGTCAATAGGTTCTAAAACACCCTGGGCTATTAATTTATCGAGCTGCTCATCGATCTTTGGCTTGAGTGTGAAAGGCACCCAACGAGGCTTAAGGCGAATGGGGGTTACTTCAGGGTTGAGGTTAAACGATATCGGGGTCCCCTTGTACTTGCCTAGCTTCTCTGTAAACACGTCCTGGAATTCCTGGACGAGGGCCTCCTCCCAGTCGTCACTTCCGGCTTGGTGAATGCTGGCTACTTCGATCCCGAGTGGGGCGAACCATCGAAGGCCTAATAAGCTAGGTCGGTCACGATCGACGACGGTCAGCGGTAGTGATGCGGTACGATTTTTGAATGATACTTGGACTTGGCTGATACCGACGACTGGGATTCTGTTTCCCTGGTAATCTTTGAGTATAATTTTTTGGGCGCTGAGGTTCTGACGACGGATGGCAGGGATTAGCTGTTTGAGGGTCTTCCAGGAAACCATCGAGAGAGACGACCCTGAGTCGACTTCCATCACGGAAGGTTGGTTCTCGATGGCAACCCTCACTCGGATCTTTCTTGCATCTAAGGATGAAGCGTGGCCGATGGTAATGGTTTGGTGTGCGTCTTCTCGTCTCGTTGAAGTGGCAGGTGCTTTATTTCTGTAGGAGTGGTTGTTCCATTGGTGGTTCAGGCGATCCCGACTCACAGGAAGATTTCCTGTGGTCTGGCGGTAGTTATTCTCCCTCCTAATCGGACTGGATCCTCGTTTGCTTCTACAGACCTTTGTGATGTGGCCTCTCTTTCCACAGGAACGGCAGAGCGCGTCGAGGAATTTGCAATCTGATCGCGGGTGGTTTGCCCCGCAACCAGCGCATTGGCGCGGGAATCTTTGGTTCCGTTGTTCTCGTTGGTCGCGTTCGGACCGGAGCCGGTTGACCTCTTCCTCTTCACTATCTGATGGGGATGGTGTGCTGTTGTTGAGTGCCTCTCTGGACGAGGCGAGGTATCATTTGCGAGTTGACGGAGCGGTGCGTTGGTGCGGCGCATTCAAGCGGCCGACTTCCTGGCTGCTTCTGCTGCAGTAGCGTCTGCGATGGCATCTGCAAGATCGATGTCCCCTTTGGCCATGATCTTGCTCTGCGCCGTGTAGTCATCTAATCCCAGAACTATGCGGTCTTGCATGGCTTCTTTGAGGTTTGAAAACCCACAGAGGCCACCCAGGTTCCGGAGGTCAGCGATGAAATCTGCAACGCTCTCGCCTTGCCGTTGGTCCCTCTGGTAAAACTCGTGTCTTCGGACAAGTGTTGGCACTGCGGGTGCATAGTGGGCCCGTAGAATGGGCGCGAGGGTGTCCCAATCCATTGATTTCACCTCAGCCGGTTTTGCAAGTGCTTTCGCCATCTTAAAAACGGCAGGCCCACAATGGGTTAGAAACACTGCTCGCTTCTTGCCAGTCGTAGCATCCTTTAAATTGTTGGTCTCAAGGAACATCTGGAACCAGTCCATATACGAGTCCCAGTCTTCGTGTGCCAGGTCAAATGGAGCGGGTGGTATGGCGCCGCTGGCCATGTTGCCGTTGTATATGCGCCTTCAGCCACGTGCTCTGTTTGGTGCTCTGTAAGTGTTCAGTCAGCTCTGATGTTTCCGCATCCCATCCTCGTCGCCAGTGTTATGTTCTGGGCATGGGCACAAGGAACGGAGATGAGGCAGTGAACGGTGAACTTCAACTCTTTATTAACGATCAGGAACAGAGCAAAAACCTTGGGCAGCAGCAGCTCTTTTATAGAGATGGCTGCTGTCCCATTAACCAATGAATTGCATTGGAGCGTTTAAACTATGCCCAATGGGAGACGACCCACTATTAGCCAATCAGATTGCCCAGAAGAGACCAATCATGATTCGCTATTTATGGGCCAATCAGAAGTGCAGGATTACGAGCCTGCTTTTCTAGTAAGGTTGTCAAGCTTTATTAAATGCATTTACTTAGTTCATAACAAAAGGTATGAGAGGGAAGAGGGGGGGCAGCCTCAGCTAGGAGAGCCCAGGCAGCTACCCCATAAATCAACCTGGGCCGGTGCAACAGGCAGCAGCAGCCCAGGGGCTCCTGGCAGGGGGAGTGATTGCCAGAAGGGGTAGAACTCCAAAGGTGCCTCCGTTAGGAGTAAAATATGGAGGGGATCCCAAGGAGTTCCTGGCACAAGTCTGGAGCCACATGGAAGAATATGGGGATGATTTTTCTTCGGTAGCAGCCAAAGTCAGATGTGTTACCAGGGCTCTGGAAGGGACAGCTGCAAAATGGATGGTGACTTTGCATAATGATAATGCATCGCAGCTGATGAATTATGATCTGTTCATGAGAGCATTGTGTGCCAGATTTGAAGACCAACTAGCTGAATGTAAGGCTAGAATTAGGATGAAAACCATAAATCAGGGGCGGCGATCATTGGCCAATTACACCCAGGAATTTAGAGAGCTGGGATGCCATATTCGAGGCTGGTCCCAGGGAGCCCTGATAGAAGCTTTTAAAGATGGGCTGAACGA